TGAGAAGACTAAAAAGAATATCCACCCGGATGAAGGGAGCAGGCATTTTCCATATACATGTAATTATGTTTTCCTGTGTCTAGCCTGGACTGAGTTCCAAAGGCTTTCTTTAGCACTCTGTGCAGCCCAGTATTGAGAAAGCAGACCACAAAATCCAGCTGAAATGAGTGATTGCCTAAAGGTTTTGGATCTGCCCAGAACAAGGTAGCTGGGTCTTAAATTCACTGCCAACAATGAGAAGGACCTGAAAAAAACAAGCATCACTAGCCCACTGGCAATGCTTCAGCTCAAGCTGTCTAGACATTTACTTTGGCAGCTTTCCACACCCCTGGAACAGGAAAGAATGATGAGATGGAGCAATGCAAATGCAATATCCCAGTCCCAGAGAGGTGATTTTCCCCTGAAGGACCAGGCTGTTGACTTTCTAGGGAATGAGGACAGTATTTTCAGAAGTTGTCTCTGATTTAAGAGTTCAGTTTTGGGAGGTTCTGCTTGTGACACCTTTAATTGTGGAGACACTAAGCACTCAGCAACTCCAAGAGAAGTACTTAAAATCAAGTCTGAGTTCTTAAGATGGGCACCCAAAAACCAAGGGACAGATAAATCAGTTTAGCTAACAGACAAATCAGTTTAGCTAACAGAATTCTAAGAAACAAAATTCCTGTTCATGCTGCTTAAGGAAACCACAAGAAAACTGGGCCAGCAGCAATCCTGTTTAAGAGGGTATGTTCCACTGAGCCCTGGCATCATTCTCTTTCAGATTCTGTAGTGAATTGCTCAGCACCATTTGTTTTCCTCCAAATGCTACATCACCTACTTGTCCAACTGCTGCTAGGTTGTCACTGCAAGTCATTGATTTATTGCATATTATCAGCCACCACCTCCATCTCTTACTGCTTCCACTAGCTTGTGCCCATTGTTTCCACCCCAGTTCTACATCCACTTTAATAGCCCACCATTACCGTCTACATTGAAATGTTTTAAATAAGCCTCTTTTTCAGTACTGTGTAAAACACTTTTTTGTGGAGCCAGCCAATTACCATACACCCATAGCATCCCCCTGTTCTACTGGCCCTGTTCTATTGCCTGTGGCAATACTGGCAGCAGCCACGTTTTGCCTTCCTGGCAGATAGTGATAATTGACTGCTAGACTCAGGGGAGCACTTCCTCCTCCCTTCCAGCTCCAGGATTTCTGCTCCCTGTTATGATGGGTACTCAGTGGAGAACTCAGACAAAAAGACCCTGTGGTCGGCTGGATAAGCCAGCAGCTTCTGACCCATCTGAGCTTGGACCCTACATCTTGTGTGGATTTTGAGGCTCATGGGCTAACCCCATCACTCTGGTTGTGAACAGGGCCAGAAGGGAAAAGAGCATCATCTGCCAGACTTGTTAACTGCCTTAAGCAATGGGGCTAGAAGGGGAAGAGACTCAAGGCTGATTTTCCCTCCTTCTACAACATTGGAGAGCCTTTCTGCTTGAGCTCCTGAGAACTCCATTCTGGCTAACCCTGCTGATGGCCTCTGAGTGCAGGGTCCTCTCACCACAGGGAGTTGTACAATACCAAGCACTTGCTTCCTTTGTCTCAAGAACAAGCAGCATAGCTGCAGTGATAGCCCTTCTTTACCAAGACTAATCCATGGGACTCTGGACCAACAAAGAAGTTCCTCAGGAGCCAAGACACAGCTTGAGGGTCAGGGTTTGTTACCCTACTACCTCCACAGTGAAGTCATACACATGAAGATGTCCACCTCACCTATATCAATATACATGTAGCCATCTACCTTCCCTTCTCCCATACCCCCTTCCCCTCTGTGCATCATCTGCAGCACGAAGAAACTCACGCTGTCACTTACCCACGCACACAGCACATACACGCACACTCACATGGTCCTCTCTTACATGTACAGATCAGCATCACTGCACATACATATGGGCATGTATCTGGGCTTCCAGACTTCTGGAAAGTACAGGGAAAATGTCCTCTTTTATATACATGGCACATGCAGAGAAGCCCAGTGGTAGCCCAGGTACTCACATCGTCCCACTTGATGAAGCGCTCGCCCTTGCAGAGGTACTCCTTCACCTCGGGGGCCTTCAGGATGGGTGTAAGCATCGACATTCTTCCCCAAGCCTGACCCTCAGATAGCAGGAGGGATGACAGCAAGGAGGTTCCTCTTTCTTGGCCCTTTCTCTTCTTCTGCCTCTTACATGGTGCTTTCTGTTGCAGCTAGCGTCAGCATCAGGAAACAAACAACCTCTTATATCCCAGCAAAAAACTTAGGGACAGCTCAGCCAGGCAAGAGAGGCGCTACTAATCTGCATTGCAAATCAGTATGTCTCCAAACAAGCAGGTGGATC